ATATAATCATTCCAATTATTTAATGGCCATTTCAATTTGTCTTTCCATCCTCTAGCGTCACCGCGTGTGCTGCTTTTATTGTTACTTTAACTATCTTCTGGTAATTGATTGATATATTAGTAATTTATTGATATATTCGGGTGATCCAACACTCCCCATAGTAGCAAATCATTATTAATTCGAATTTTTATCTGCAATATCTCCTGAATTTTTGCTTGTATTATTTGCCAGAATTGCTTTATTTCAGAACACTCCCGCCACATATGCGAATAAGTACCTTTTTCTTTATTACAGTGCCAACACAAAACAAATAAACATATCTACTTTTTTTTTTTACTGCAGCCCTTTTTCTCGGTCCCTTTCCATACAACTGGCAAAGGACCAGGAAGAAGGGCAGTAAAGCAAGTGTGTGCATTTCTTTTCTGTTTTAAGGGCAGGAATCGATTTGCCAGGGAGGGTGGGGATCGGGCTATTCCCAGTAGTGCCAAACTGGCTTTGGCCTGATTGAGCTGTCAGGCTGATGTTCCACAACCAAGATGGCTCAGTGCACACCTATATGGCCACGGTTTGTGCTAGAACTGGCATTTTTCATGCCGGTTCCAACCTGCATTGTGTGTCTGTGTAGAAAATTCCCTAATTTTCTTGGATAAAACCTTCTGATTGCAACACAAGCATTTAAAACATCTGGCAAAAGCAGCACCCCTGGCGTAAAGCAGACTAACTTCCATACTTATTGCATTCCAGCCTTTGTCCTGAGCTTTTTTGCATGCATAACATATGCACAATTACAGCAAGTGGCAGCAGAGAGTAGAAGCAAAAAAAAAAAAAAAAAGCCTCAGGAAGGAAGGCCCTGTTTTTTTGTAAATGCTCCGCTCAGTAAAAGAACAGGGAATGAGGGCAGGAGGCATACATTTCAGTTCTTCAGCTGGCAGCTCTCTGGCTTGGGTGGCTACACATAGATGGAGAAAACATTGGCTGCTATTTTTAATTCACTGGAAATTCTTTCTTCCCCACATCCTGGCAGCCCATATTTGAAGAGTTTTGTCATCAAAGCACAGCAATATCGCCATCTAGTGATATTGCAAGCATGTGAGGCATGTGTTTACTTTAATATGTGTTTGTAGAAGACCTACAAGCCACTCAAACACCTTCGCAGAAGCTTACGAGAAGCTCGGCCTGTCATTAAACATCGAGAAAACCAAAGTGCTCTTCACTCACCAGTCAATCCCTCTCCAATGCCAGAAATACAACTTAATGGTGTAACATTAGAAAATGTTGACAATTTTCGCTACCTTGGCAGCCACCTCTCCACAAAAGTCAACATTGACACCGAAATACAACACCGCCTGAGCTCTGCGAGTGCAGCTTTTCTCCGAATAAAGCAGAGAGTGTTTGAAGACTGGGACATCCGTAGGGATACCAAGGTGCTTGTTTTATAAAGCTATTGTCCTCCCAACCCTGCCATATGCCTGCGAGATATGGACAGTCTACAGACGTCACATGCAAGTCCTGGAACGATTCCATCAGCGCTGCCTCCGAAAAATCCTGCAAATCTCTTGGGAAGACAAGTGGACAAATGTTAGCGTGCTGGAAGAAGCAAAGACCGCCAGCACTGAAGCAATGGTCCTCTGCCAACAACTCTGCTGGGCCGGCCACGTTGTCCGGATGCCCGACCACCATCTCCCAAAGCAGTTGCTCTGTTCCGAACTCAGGAATGGAAAATGGAATGTTGGAGGACAGGAAAAGAGATTTAAAGATGGTCTCAAAGTCAACCTTTAAAACTCTGGCATAGACACTGTGACCAACAGTGCTGTTGAATTTGAAGAGGCACGAATGGAGGGTGAAAGAGAGAAACATGCCAAGAGGAAGGCGCATCAAGCCAACCCCGACCAGGACCGCCTTCCACTTGGTAACTGATGCTGGTCCAGCCCTCTCTGTGGGAGAAGATACAGATCAAGAACAGGGCTCCACAGTCACCTACGGATCCACCACCAGGACACTATACTTGGAAGACCATCATCCTCAGACTACGAGGGATTGCCTAAGTAAGTAATATATGTACAATCTTCCAGTGTTGTTAGGCCAAACCTAATGGAATACTTATATTTGTATTCCCCAAATGGCTGCTTCTTGTGTTCTAAGGTTAAGAGAAACTAGATGGTTATCATTCAGTTGGGCACTTCTTTGAAACAAAGCAGTCATGCAAATGTTTGCTAAGTATCCATATTTATTGAGACTGGATAATCCAGTGTTTGGAAATTACTTTGAAGACACAAGTTGATTATACTATACCTGAAATACTTGAGTCCAGGAATGTTATGATTCCTCCCTGCTTATATTGGAATGCCTGTATTTGCATATATGTACATAATGAGATAAAATCCCACAATATCTGCTTTGAACTGAGTTATCTGAATCCATACTCAAATAATATGGGATTTTCTGCCTTGATATTCTGGGATAAAGGACTGTGTGGAAGGGCCCATAAATACATTTCATGTTTAATCTTGGATCCCATCTCCTTATACATATACCTTGAAGACAATTTTATACAATATTTCAAATGTTTTTATGCATGGAACAAAGTACATGTACATTCAGCCATCTGCAAGCAAAAATGTCACAATTCCAACCATCCGTGTGCACAATTTTGTATTTTGAAGTATTTCAGATTCCCAGATAAAGGAAATTATAATTGCTAATTACCTAACTGCTTAACAATAATGCATATTGATGTATTGATCACTGCTTTGCACCTCACCAAAAGTCAACTGCAACAGCCTTCACGGCTTGGCCCAGCACAGAATGCCAAAGAACAGGCCTAACGAGTTGTTTTGCTAAGACTTCAAAGTTCAGCACTGGGTGAGGTAGTTGGGAGTGTAATGGTTCACCTAGCAAGGCCATAAAGGTGAGTGGAAATAAGCAAGGAGGTGGATTAGATCCTAGTGTTTACGGTGCATCCTTGCACTTCTTAACTCTGTGTAGGCCCAGGGCTCCTCCAACTGCGGCTTTGTGCCTCCAACTCCCAGAAGCCCTCTCCAGCTTGAAGCCAGGAAAAGACCGTAATGACCCAAAAAGCTACAGACCAATCTCCCTGTTGTGCCACCTCTACAAAGTTCTGGAGAGACTTATTTTGCATAGAATTATGGAAAAAATAGACCCCTGTCTGATTCCACAGCAAGCTGGCTTCAGAAAAGGCAAAAGCTGCACATCGCAAGTGCTGAACCTGACTCAGCACATAGAAGATGGCTTTGAAAGGCAGCAGATCACAGGAGCTGTCTTCATAGACTTGTCAGCAGCCTATGATACTGTGAACCACCGCCTCCTCCTGAGAAAAATGTATAATATCACAAAGGACTACCACCTCACCAGCCTCATAGGAAACCTGCTACAAAACAGGAGCTTTTTTGTTGAGTTCCAGGGCCAGAGAAGCAGATGGCGGAAACAGAAGAACGGCCTGCCTCAGGGGAGCGTGCTTGCTCCATCCATGTTCAACATCTACACAAATGACCAGCCACTGCCAGAAGGGACAGAGAGCTTCATCTATGCTGATGATCGTGCCATTACTGCTCAAGCAGGGAGCTTTGAGATGGTAGAACAGAAGCTCTCTAAAGCTCTAGGTGCACTTACTGCCTATTACAGGGAAAACCAGCTGATCCCCAACCCATCTAAAACACAGACATGTGCCTTTCACCTTAACAACAGATAAGCATCCCGAGCTCTGAGGATTACCTGGGAAGGAATCCCACTGGAGCATTGCAACACACCCAAATACCTGGGAGTCACTCTGGACCGTGCTCTGACCTACAAGAAGCACTGCCTGAACATCAAACAAAAAGTGGGCGCTAGAAACAACATCATATGAAAGCTGACTGGCACAACCTGGGGATCACAACCAGACACAGTGAAGACATCTGCCCTTGCGCTATGCTACTCTGCTGCTGAGTATGCATGCCCAGTGTGGAACACATCTCACCACACTAAAACAGTGGATGTGGCTCTTAATGAGACATGCCGCATTATCACGGGGTGTCTGCGCCCTACACCACTGGAGAAATTACACTGCTTAGCCGGTATTGCATCACCTGACATCCACCGGGAAGTAGCAGCCAATAGTGAAAGGACCAAGGCAGAGACATCTCCAGCTCATCCCTTTGGGTATCAGCCAGCACGTCAATGACTTAAATCTAGAAATAGTTTTCTAAGATCTACAGAGACACTCGCTGGAACACCTCAGCAAGCGAGAGTCAAAAGTGGCAGGCTCAAACCCAGCACCTCAATCCATGGGTGATACCAGATGAGAGACTCCCTCCTGGGCACACAGAAGACTGGGCGACTTGAAAGGCGCTGAACAGACTGCGCTCTGGCACCACGAGATGCAGAGCCAATCTTAAGAAATGGGGCTACAAAGTGGAATCCACGACATGCGAGTGTGGAGAAGAGCAAACCACTGACCACCTGCTGCAATGCAACCTGAGCCCTGCCACATGCACAATGGAGGACCTTCTTGTGGTAACACCAGAGGCACTCCAAGTGGCCAGATACTGGTCAAAGGACATTTAACCAACTACCAAGTTTGCAAAATCTGTGTGTTCTTTTGTGTTTTTTTAAATCTGTGTATTTGTTTTGTTCTGTTAGAATTGTAACACAATGGTATGGTTGCTGATGACACGATAAATAAATGGTGCATCCTTGCACTTCTTAACTCTGTGTAGGCCCAGGCCTCCTCCAACTGCGGCTTTGTGCCTCCAACTCCCAGAAGCCCTCTCCAGCTTGTCCAACGGTCAGGAATCCTGGGAGTTGGAGGCGCAGGGCGGCAGTTGGCGTCTCCGCCTCAGACATTCCATCCTCCCAAATTGGACGAGGCGGGAGAAGGACGCGGTGACGTCATCGCTGCGAGGAAGGAGGGCGGAGGCAGCGCGAGTTGACGCGAGGCGGCGGAGCAACGCCAGAGAGGGCGGCGCGTGCCTTTCCCTCTCACGCGCCTCGCAGCGCCCCCTAGCGACGGCGTCCCTAAGCAGCCCTCCATCGGACCCGGCGGCCGCTGGCCTATTTTCCCATTTTAGGCCGCGGCGGGCGAGGGCGAGGCCTGGTTGGGCCCTTGTTACGCAGCCGGGCCTGTGTATGACGCCACTGGCCCGCGACCCCCTCTCCGCCCGGCGCCGGGCCTGAGCCGCAGCGGGGAGACGCCCCTCCCTGCCCAAGGAGATGGGCGGCCGGCGCTGGGCCGCCCCTCAGAGGCCTTCGTCGTCGTCGTCGTCGTCGCCTTCCTCCACAGCCCGCCGCCCTTGACTCCGCACCTTCTTCGCCCCGCCACCCTCCGCCCGCCCGCCCGGATGGAGCCCCCGCCGGTCACTCTGGTCATCAAGGCGCCCAACCAGAAGTACTCCGACCAGGCCGTCAGCTGCTTCCTGGACTGGACCGTGGGCAGGCTCAAGAGCCACCTCTCCCAGGTGTACCCCAGCAAGCCGGTGAGACGCCCAGCCACCTACCCACCCCTTTTCCCCTTTGCTTTATCTTCGTGGCCTCCTTCAATTGAAGCCTGGCTGGTACTCGCCCCTTCAGCCCCCCACCCTCCCCTTTTCAACCTGTTGAATGTTCTCTCATAAAACAGAACAAAGGGAGGGGGTGTCTTCTGGGAGGGCACACAGCCTTCTTCCCCTTCCTCTCCTTTCTGTGCTGGACTTCCATAGAACCCTAAGAGTTTATTTATTATTTATTTATTTACTTCACTTATATACCGCTTTTCTCAGCCCTTAGGCGACTCAGAGAGGTTAACAGCAGCAATTTCAATGCACACATTACAAAACCATTGGAACATTTAAAAACAATAGCATTACAACAATTAAACATCAATATGACAAATCTTAAGAGTTGGAAGACACCACATGAGCCATCCAGTCCAACCCCCTGCCATGCAGAAAGAGCACCATCAAAGCATCCCTGACAGATGGCCCATCCACACAGCCATATCATCCGGAATATCAAGGCATCTGATCTGTAGTTTAGGGCCAGGTAATGGTATGAAAGCTGGGTCTGGAAGCTCTGATTCTTACGCTCTTTCCGCTTTACTCCTTCAGGAGCGCTGTTTGCTCAATAATAATAATAATAATAATAATAAACTTTATTTATACCCTGCCACCATCTCCCCAACAGGGACTCGGGGCGGCTTACATGAGGCCAAGCCCAATCAACATTACAGCAAAATAAAATCAGAAACACATGCAACAAACAACATCATAATTATATAAAACATATGAATACATTAACGGTAATAATAACAATAAAAATCATCATCTTTATACCTTGCCACCATCTCCCCACAGGGGACTCGGAGTGGCTTACATGGGCCAAGCCCGAACTACAATATGACAGTACAAATTGCAATGAAATAAACAACATAACATTAAGATATAAAACATCAAAGCATATAAAACAATATACACAGAACATAGGAACTAAGCATAATGACAGAAAGACAAAGGGCAGGCTGCATGTACATAAAATGATTTAAAAACTCCAGGTGAGATAAGGGGGCAGAACTAATTGTAAGGGAGAAATCATAGAGAGATAGGAAAGTAAGCAAACCTTCATACAAGGGGGTGGTGGTGGGCAGCCTTCTTCCCCTTCCTCCCCTTTCTGTGCTGGACTTCCATAGAACCCTAAGAGTTGGGAAGATACCACATGAGCCATCCAGTCCAACCCCCTGGCATTCAGGAAGAGCACAATCAAAGCATCCCTAACAGATGGCCATCCAGGGCCCATCCACACAGCCATATCACCCGGAATATCAAGGCATCTGATATCTAGTTTAGGGCCGGGTAATAGTATGAAAGCTGGGTCTAGAAGCTCTGAGCCTTATGCTGTTTCCGCTTCGCTCCTTTGGGAGCGCTGTTTGCACAATATTATTATTATTATTATTATTAAACTTTATTTGTACCCCGCTAGCATCTCCCAGAGGATTCGATGCGGCTTACAACAGGCCGAGGCCACAACAATACAACATAACAATACAATCAAGCAAATCAAACAATTAAAACAAATTAAAGCAAAATAAACAACAAGCACAGTACATTAAAACACAATAAAACTGGGCCGGGCCAAAAGGTGGGTACAAGGATTAAAAGTGCTGATTTGACAGGAGGTGTATAGAGGGTTACTAGTGCAAGTGCGATGTGCAGCAATCATTGGTTCTGGTAAAGTCCTTGTAGGACTCGGTAGTGGAGATTTCCTAATCTGGGAAGGCGCATCAGAAAAGCCAGGTTTTTAAGTTCTTTCTGAAGATAGCCAATGAAGGGGCCTGTCTAAGGTCTTTGGGGAGGGTGTTCCAGAGTTGGGGGGCCACTACGGAGAAGGCCCTGTCCCGCGTCCCCACCAAGCGCGCTTGCGACGCTGGTGGGATCACGAGCAGGGCCTCTCCAGATGACCAAAGAGAACGCGTGGGTTCGTAGATGGAAATGCGGTCACGCAGGTAGGCTGGTCCCAAACCGTTCAGGGCTTTGTAGGTAAGCACCTGCACCTTAAATTGGGCTCGGAATATAAACGGCAGCCAGTGGAGTTCCTTAAACAGGAGGGTTGACCTCTCTCTGTAAGGGGCCCCCATTAGCATCCTGGCTGCTGATCGTTGGACCAGTTGGAGCTTCCGAGCCGTCTTCAAGGGCAGCCCCACGTAGAGCGCATTGCAGTAATCCAATCTGGAGGTGACCAAGGCATGGACCACTTTATTTATACCCCGCCACCAGCTTCCCAATGGAGACTCAGGGCGGCTTACATGAGAACAAGCCCAATCAACAAATTACAATCAACAAATTACAGCAAAATAAAACCAAAAACACATGCAACAAACAACAACTTCATAATTACATAAAACATATGAATACATTAACGGTAAGCAGAATGGAACACATATTATAAAAGGAATGTAAGAATTCTTTAATGGTAAAACCCCAACCCTTACCCAAGCCCTAAGCCTTGTTGTTGTTGTTCATTCGTTCAGTCGTCTCCGACTCTTCATGACCTCATGGACCAGCCCACTTTTAACCCTAATCCTAATCCAAACCCTAAACCAGTGGTTCTCAACCTTCCTAATGGCGTGACCCCTTAATACAGTCCCCCATGTTGTGGTGACCCCCAACCATAATATTGTTTTCATTGCTACTTCATAATAGTCATTTTACTACTGTTGTGCTGGTACAGCTGTACCAGGAGCTCCATCTCTGTTTGCTTTTGCATTTAATGTTTATTGCAGCCCTAAGTTTCAGGGACCCTGCAGATAGGTGGCTTCTTTTGGCTGCAATCATAGGGCAAACCACCTGTCAATAATAGTTAGGTTCCCTGGTCCCACCCCTTTTTGAGTTTTGGAGGGAACAAGAGCCATTTTGAGTTAGTTCTCACAGAGAAGCCTTTCGCACAGGACATAGAACGAAGTGGCTCCTGTAGAAAAGCTTCGTCTTTTACAGCTTGGCCGGGGTTATACAGCCCTACAGCTTGGCCGGGGTTATACAGCCCTACAGCTTGGCCAGGAGACATACAGCCACAGCTTGGCTGAGGGACTTCAGCCAGCCATCACTGGGAAGTGAACATCTTCCTCCTCCTGGAAGTTCTGCAAAGTCTCTGTTCGGTAAGGGCCCTTCGCGGCAACCATAAAGCAGATTGGACCAGGTGTAGGGGTCCCACGCCAACAGAAGAGAAGACAGATTGCCCAGGTAGAGGTCGGGGATTTTCCCAACAGTGAAGGAACAGTTGCTTGCCTTTAGACTAGCCTATAGACACTTAAGAAAGCTTGAAAGTACCTGTTTGATTCATTAATAAAGAACTTTGTTGGATTTACTTTAAGCATTCTAAAGACTCTGTTTGGGAGAATCTAAGGGCCTTTAATCTGAGGCAGCCCCGGCGTCCCGTTGGGCACAGAGAATTTATGTCCTGTGTACAGTCTAATGCACAGGCCCAGCGTGCGACAGCACAACTGTTATAAATCATAATGTAAATATCTGATATGCAGGATGCATTTTCATTCACTGGACCAAACTGGGCACAAATACCCAATACACCCAAATGTGAATGCTAGTGGGGTTGGGCGAGGATTGATTTTGTAATTTGGGAGTTGTAGTTGCTAGGATTTATAGTTCACTTATAATCAAAAAGCATTTCGAACTCCACCAGCGATGGATTTGAACCAAACTTGGCTCCCATGACCAATGGAAAACATTGGAAGGGTTTGATGGGCATTGACCTTCAGTTTGGGAGTTGTAGTTCACCTATATCCAGAGAGCACTGTGGACTCATGCAATGGTGGATCTGGACCAAACTTGGCATGAATACTCAATATGCACAAATGTGAACACTGGTGGAGTCTGGGGAAAATAGATCTTGACATTTGGGAGTTGTAGTTGCTGGGATTTATAGTTCATTACAATCAAAGAACATTCTGAACTCCACCAACAATAGAATTGGCTCAAACTTCCCACATGGAATCCCCATGACCATCAGAAAATACTGTGTTTTCTTATGGTCTTTGGCGACCCCTCTGACACCCCCTCACGACCCCCTCAGGGGTCCCGACCCCCAGGTTGAGAAACACTGCCCTAAACCTAACCCCTAACCCCTAAGCCTAATTCTAACCCTAATTCTTACCCTTACTCTACCCCAAACCCTAAACCTTGCCCTAAATTTTACTGTAACCCTCCCCTCCTTTCTATCCTTCCACCAAATTGAAGTATCTTCCCGCCCTCAGTGTGCCGTTCTCCCCTTTCCTTATTCACAACCGCCGTTGTGGAATGTGCTTAATGCTCGGAGCTTCCGGACCCAGCTCTCGTACTATCACCTAGGGCCTTTCCACACAGCCATATAGCCCAGAATGGCCCCTTCCACACAGCTGAATAAAATTCCACATTATCTGCTTTGAACTTGGATACATGCCAGTGTGGGGTCAGGGCACTTCTAGACAGCAGTAAATTGCTGGTTTTAATCAGGGGCAAAAAATCTGGGGACTTTAGAAGAAATCCACATACAGACCTGTTGATCCCAGGATTTCTGCCCCTGTCATCCATACTTGGTACTTTATTGTGGGATTTAGAGGCTCCCAAGATGGCTGCTGCGGGATGTCCAGGTGTTTTTTTAAAGAAACTCAAGATGCAAATATGCGAAGATGCAAATAATTGTGTAAGTTCAATTCCTGGGTTATATGAGCTGCAGGGCCATATGTGCAGACAGGGTGTTGTTCCTGGGTTATAAATGTCTGTTCCTGATTGCTCTTATGTGAAAAAATGTACAATGTTGTTTAGGGGGCCACATCTTTGTCCTGGCCAGAGAAAATGTGCCCTCCACACATTTCATGAAGTTTTTGTGTTCTACTCATCTGTTACCTTCTTTTTAGAAACCTACCAATCAGGAACAAACATCTAAAATCAGGAACAAACCTAGGCCACTTCCACACAGCCCTATATCCCAGAATATCAAGACAGAAAATCCCACAATCTCTGCTTTGAACTGGGTTATCTGAGTCCACACTCTGATAATGTGGGATTTTCTGCCTTGTTATTCTGGGATATAAGGCTGTGTGGAAGGACCCCTGGATAAAAAATCCAGTGATTTCTGAGTTCAGGGGCATTCAGACATTCAAAGATGTGGATTTTCGGCGCAGAACTGGGATATTCCTGCATCTGAAAATCTCATGTTTTTTGCCATTTGTAGCTATTGCTTCCGTGTTTAGCCCTTTCGTCTGTTACAAACTTGGTTATTTCCGATCAAAACGTCCTGACCACGCTTCAACCTGCCATCTTTTACTGGAAGTTATGAAGCACTTTGGTATCCAAAGTACTTTGGAAATGTGTTATAAGGAATAACAAGTTTTAGGAATCATTGTGGTGCCTCAGTTTTATGCAAAATAGAATGTGAGTCCCACTTCTTTGTCTCCAGTTTATTGATCTTATTCAGTTCAAAAAGGGTTATGTAGAGAGGGTGCTCTTTAAGTATGATGTACATATTAACTTTCAGTTTCCATGTGAAAATGCAAGTCAAACATTATGATCTAATCAACCAGATAAGGAACTGGGAATGTAAACAATCTTATACAGCCAAATTAACCGTGGATTATTCTACATCATATGTTCAGGTCACTGGGAAGTCAACAACTTCTTTACTCAAGTGTTTGTTCCCAGGACAGTTTGGTGGAAGGAACCTGGGCAACACATTTGTTACTGTTTAATACATTGATGAGCTTTTCAGGTAATCATTTATCTAGAGTAGTCCATAATAGAAAGACTCCCACTGCATGGATATATTATTTAGAGTGGAACAGGAGTGATTTTGGGCTGTATAGTTAGAAAAATCAGTGTGCATATATTACCCCACACAAACTGGACATTATTAGAATTACCTGTTAGAAGCTACAAACCAGGAACTAATAAGCCTTATTGAAATATATATATGGGGGGGGGGGGGAGCGAGTGAGCGCTGGAGGAAACTGGCATCTTGGGCAAAAAAGTGTTCATCTACTAATTTTAAAAAATCAATTGTAGCTATTAAAAAGCATTAACTAAGGAAACACTTTTAAAATAAATGTATAGTATGTACTGTTTGAATTTTAAAAGCTATAGATTCTTAGGTATCTCATGCTTTGCAAATATTGTAGGTTAGGGAACCTCTGGTAAATAGTGGTATTATTGTGTAAACATTGTTTATTTTATTTTATTTATGGATGATGTCTTTTGTGTTATACTTAATATGATTATTTTAATTTTTAGGCACTTTGCTTATTATTGTTAATTCATTTTATTTAAATTGTCTATATGTTTATTATAATTTGCTTTGTTTATATTGTTACATTGCTGTAAGTCACTCCGAGTCCCCTCGGGGAGAGGGGTGGGATACAAATGAAGCTTATTATTATTTATTATGTTTTGTTTCTGGGACCATCCAGGAACGGTGCAGATTGCAGTGCCAAAAAATACAACCAAAAGAATGTGGAGTACTACTTCTGTTTTTGAAAACAGATTTTTTTGCTGTTAACCAAAGGTCTGATTTCCACTCCCGGACATAGAAGGACAAATAGTGGTTCAAAACATTTGTAGAAATTGAACCCATAAAAACAGATGAGTAGAACACAAACAGATTTCTTTGGAGACTATTGCTTATTGTGATCACAGGGCCACACTCTGCTAAGCCCAATTTACTCTCTAGGACTGCCAGTTTGAATTCAGGTACCTTTAGTACTTCATACATTCTGGAAAAGAAAGACATTGTATAGTTCCATCTGGCAAAACTATGCTGTGGCTTCTTATTCAACACCATGCTAACTTTAAAGATACAAGAGTGCTGACCTGTAATCAGTCTGGCAACCTTACTCTTCCCTTTCACTTAAAATAAATAAATAAAAAATTGTCGTTTTCAGAAATTTTGCTTGTAGGCTTAGCACATATACTCTACCATAGCAAAAAAGCAAGTTAACTTTGCATTATAATGTCTGAGGTTTTAATAGACAATATTTGTATTGGTTTTAACAAGACTGTAATCCTGTTCAAATTTACTTAAAAATAGACCATTGGACGAATGAGGATTTGTATGCAAATATCTGTGTGAATGTGTAATTTGAATCTCCTGACTTCTAGTTCATGATACTGGGATACGGACTACTTCAAAATAAATGTATGTTAAATAGCTTAGAATAATTATTTCCAGAAATTATAATTTTTAATCTCCATCAGTGAAGCCAGGATTGTCTTCCAGCAGCCAGAGGTTATAGTATTTTCAAAAAAATTCTGAAATATTGCGAACACAGAATTTAGCAAGAATACTAAGCTTTTATAAGTGCTAGAAGTGCATTTAGAAAAGAATTGCTTTGCATTTTATTGTGTTTCAAAACTTTATTAATATTACCAACTGCCTGAGAAAAAATGTTTCCAATTTATTTTGATAAATGTAGAAAAAATATATAACCCTCTGTAAGTAAGCAGTATTTATTTATCTATAGTGTTAAGGCTTCTGTTCAAGATAAAACTTCTTTTGATTCTTCATAAGTTCATGCCCAGGTGCTTCCCTTCAAGGCCAGCAACACTTGCAGTTTTAAAATAGGCACATTTTCACACAGAAAGAAGTTGATATTTCATGTCTATAAAGGCATAGTGATGTCTTGATAGAATGGAAATACGTGTTATACTTAGAATGTAGGATTTAAGTATGCAAGTATTTCTAAGTAGCAGTTTGTAGAATTGTAACATGGCCAAAGGTTATGTGGAAAAGAACTGTGTATTCACAAAGTATATGTAAAAATCTGATCTTTAAAAATTAAATGTATCTCAAATATTTATCCTGAGTGTGAGACATTTAAGTTAAGTCTTCTTCATCTACAAATGTTGTTTGCAGCTCTAAACCGTACAGCTAGAAAAAAGATGAATTCTTCCTTTGTTCCATCTCTTAGTCTACAAAGGATCAGAGACTGGTGTATTCTGGCAGATTGCTTCCTGATCATCTGCAGCTGAAAGATATTCTCAGAAAAGTAAGTTTTACTTTAATAATGCATTTCAAGTAAAATTCCTGGTTGTTTAAGGAAAATATAAATTCTAAAGAAGCATAACTGCTTCTTGAGGTCTTTTAAGTTCTACAGTGGTTATTGCTGTGATGGAATGCAGTGATGACAATATTGTATAAGAAGAAATTATAAATGTGCATGCAAACATGGAAATGGGCTTCCTTTGACTTCTAAAACATGAACATATCTTTAAAAATTAAATTTTAAAATTTAAATCAAATTTAAGAATATTACACTAGTTCTTAACACTTCTCAGCTTCCTGGCTACTTTCATCTGAGTAGCAATTAGAATCATAGAGTTGGAAGAGACCTTGTGGGCCATCCAGTCCAACCCCCTGCTAAGAAGCAGGAAAATCGCATTCAAAGCACCCCTGACAGATGGCCATCCAGCCTCTGTTTAATACCCTCCAAAGAAGGAGCCTCCACTACACTCCGGGGTATAGAGTTCCACTGCTGAACAGCTCTCACAGTCAGGAAGTTTTCCCTAATGTTCAGATGGAATCTCCTTTCTTGTAGTTTAAAGGTCCTGCTAGTAATTTCCCTACTTCTGAATTCCCTTCGAGGTGAGAAGAGTGGGATATAAATGTATTTAATAAATAAATACTTCTTTAGCTTCTAAATAAGAGGAGTAGGCTGTGGTGAATGTTGTCACCAACATTATGGATTAAGGAGTGGAAACTGATGCCAAAGAAGAAAGGCACAACTCTCGATTTGACTTCATGTTGACTAGCTTAGGATCAGACTTTGGTTCATAGAAGGAAAAGAAAGAGAAGCAATCTTGTATGGAAAATCTGTATGTTGCAGTATTTTATACCTAAAATTCATAGCATGTAACAGAAAGTATCTGGAATTGGATGTTGAAACTCTATGGGAAAAATTCTAGTTGTGGGAAAAATATATAGTGTGGTAATTGTGTCTTAAAGAAAGCTTTTATATGACAGATGATCGTGAGATTATGTTTGCACATTCGTAGAAGGGCAGTACTGTACTGTGTGCATACTGAATTCTAATGTACCACATTATCTTCATTAATACTTAGAAACAATGAGAGGCAGAAATATTTCTTTATTGCAGTAATAAAGTTTTAACTGTGTTTTTAAGACTAGGCAGGATGTGTTATGTACAGAACTAAAGACTCAGGAAATAATCAATTCTTACACACCCTTTGAGTACTCTTTACATGAAAAAGTCAAAGTATTGTGGACAAATATTTAAAGAGGAAGCATTTATGTGTGACTGGAAGAGTTGTGCGTAGGGCAGGAGTGTTCTGGAAGCTAGTAAGTGATTATGGAAGCTCATAACAAAGTGTAGATAGTAAAACTAACTTGAAGTGAATACAATTTTCATTTTAAAATACCAAAATTTGATAGCTTTTAATTACTGATCGCTTTAGACATCCTGATTTAATAAATAATGTAATTAAAGCAAGAGCATATGCAAAATACTGGCTTATTCTAAGAACATTTATTTATTTTATGAACTAAAGCAAGTAATTTGTCAGAATAATCATGATAATTGTTTCCTGCACTCAAATACATCTGTTGTCAGCTGTAGCTACAGTAGCTCTACGAGTTTTATGTGGCCATTTTTATTCTCATAACTTACACAAGAGAACCCCTATTTATACACATGGTGTTATACTTAATACCCTATGTAGTCATGTATAAGTCTGGAAAATTTAGCCACTATGGCTCAACTTACCCATTGATCATTGTAAATACTGTACCTTAACTCTTATAAAAATGATTCTCCCCCTTCTCTAAGTAGAATGGCAAAAGGTAAGATCGTAATCTATTCCAGGAGAATCTGAAAGAAACACTGATATCCCCTTCCCCAAGCTCTTCACCATGGAACCACTTCTGGCCTTTTTGAATGTCTAGGCAGGAAAGTAGCAGCAGTGGTGGCAGGAATAGCTGCCTCCTCCGAACAGCATTGGTGCTTTCCTCTCCACACAGAATGATCCTTGACTTATCAATGGGTAATATCAAAATCCATAATTTTGACTCCTAATCTTGGCTTCAACTGGTGAGGTCAGCTTATAGATGAGCAGATAATGGCAATAAGAACACTGTTTAATATTTGATGTATGACTTTTAAAGTATTCAAAGCCTTTTGTGTACATTAATAATTCTTCAAATAATTTTGCAAATGAGTATAGTAATTTTCTTCAACTTCTGTGTCGTGGTAATACCTCATGCCTGGTTACTACCTGGAATAAATCAGTGGCTGTGATAGTTGTAAATATATTTTGCTTATGCTTATTATGATAATGGTGTTCAGGAATTCTTAGCATTTCCATGAAGACTAAGTTGGTAGCCTGATTTTGTGCTAACATGCAAACTAGCATGGTGTATACTCATTTTATTTATATATTGATTTTATTTCCAGCTAGTCAGCTTACATCTCGCAATTATGGTTAGTAGCTTGTCAGTATACAGGCAGTTCCCAAGTTACAAACCTCCAACTTACAAACAACTCATAGTTAAGAACAGAGGTGAGACAACAGTAAGTGAGAGAAATCCACCTCTCTGAAGGGAAATCCACTCCTGTAAGAGTTATCTTGTAGAAAATGTGTCTCCACTGAAGCTTTATCACTAATCCTTGTTTCCAACAAGCCAATTTTTCCAAATCCAATTATCACAAGTAGGGTGAAATCTTCTGAAAAGCAAACAGACAGTAAAACAAACACGACAGGGATGTTAACACTTCCCTCTGCTGTCCAAAGCTATATATGTATGTATCGAATAGTTGCCTGTTGGAAGCTGTCCTGAGTCCCTCTTTGCAGGTTGAGAAGGACGGGGTATAAATGTTCTATACATATAGTATATATGTTTGTATGTATATTTGGCTGGAGTTACACTTAAAAATGTACCTGTTCTAACTTCCATACAAATTCAATTTAGGAACAAACAGAACCTATCTCGTAATTTGGGGACTTCCTGTCTTTTGAAGAAAAAATATACAATCCGCTAGAAATATGCAAAATAAATAAAGAAAGAAAGAAATCAAAATACTTTGTGGTTGGTGAAAAGTTTTTTTATTTATTTTTCTCAGAGAAAAGCTCAAATATTCTACTTTAAAAAATATTAACTGATTAGATTTTTCCCCACAAATTAATCCTGCAATCACTGAAGAAGTTGTTAAATCTGAGTACATGTTAATAAGTTTTGATGAGAAAATTGGATTTTGGGTGAAATGCGTAACTGGTGAGGAATGGAATGAGATCAAATTTCGATGTGCAAAAATCTTATGTAATGTAGTTTAGTCAGATTAATCCGAAATACACATTGCTTCACATGTAGTACAGAAACCTCTGGAACTGTTCTAGCATTCCAGTAATATTTGTAATAAAGTATCAGGTGAATTGAATAGCTACTGTGATTTGTGCCATTGATCTGTAATTTTGCGAGGTGCTTTTTGTGAGCTCTTCTTTGAAAACCTGAATGTTTTGCTTTTATTTTAGCAAGATGAATATCATATGGTTCATCTAGTATGTTCTTCACGGAGTCCTCCAAGTTCTCCAAAGGCTGACACCATTAGAGAAAACCATGAATCTCCAGCATCCAGCAACATTTCAGTGAGTTACCTTTGTGTTTGATATAATCATTATAAGCTTTATAAGCAACAGGCAAAATAAATAAATAAAAGAAATAACACTTTAAATAAAAATTAAAATACATGTTTAATACAGTTATGTTTGCCTTTATTTTAATTTGCCTTCAACTACTGTATTTCAATACTAATATTATATTGAAATATGTGTAGCAAGAGAGAGAGCGCAAACCTTGACATTGCCATTTTACTGCACCTTTGTATACCATGAAATTTGAGCATCCACTGTGGGTCCTGGAACCATACCCCAGAAGATACTGAGGGACCACTGTTTTTTACTTAAGGGAGTTTGGTTATTGTGTACTTGGAACTTAGGCATGTCCTGACTGTTGTTTCTGTGGTACAGTTGGTCTTCTCTATCCGTGGATTTAACCATCTGATATTCAAAAAAAGTGTGATTTGTATACCTATTTTATATACCTAGAGTCACATAAAATTTTCTTTTGCAAAAAGAGGTTGCAAGTTGAAAATGTTTGAGAAGCTCTAGTCTAGGCTGTTTGTTAGGCATTCTCCTGACAACCATAATTTAAGTTGTGTACCTGATGATTCTGTTTATTGGTTTCGTTGTTTACCTAACCTTGACTTCTGAATAGTTCTGATAGTTGAAATCAGCCCAGTGAATTGACTGATTTTGATTTTGGCTAGCAAGCTGCTGTATGCCAAGAAAAGCAAGAGCATGCCAGTAAGATTTTTTAACCTCAGATGTCAGTAGAATTTAGGGTAGATTGCACATGCTAAAGAAGTTGCTGATGTAAACTGGAACATTTATTTTAGTAATGCTTTGAAGAGCCAGGCTATTATTATGAAGCACAGATCTCTGTCTGCAGCTGATGGAAATCATTAATTCCATTTTATTTTAAGAGTACAGAACATTCAGGATCAACAACGCCTTCCCCATCTCAGGAAACATTACACACAGATGTCAGCAGTAGCTCGAGTGGGGTGAGACATCGAAGTCTTCCCCAAGCACAAAGCAATCCATTGCAAAGCCACCCATTCTCATATATAATGCAAGGGTAAGTAAAATGTCAGTGAATTTATTATTTTTGCAGCTTGTAAAAACATGGACTGAAATCCTGCATCAGCTTATACTTAACTAAATAACTTATTTTGTCCTTACCCCCCACCTTCAATCCCACAGAAATATGATTAGCCATGCTCTGATCCTACACAGAATATATACATGAGATCCTTTTAGTTGGTTTTTGTATTAGCTATTCTGAAAGAAATCCTGCAGTCATAGTGGGATGGTTCATACTGCTTATTTCCTATATGTATGCAGATCTGACAATGTGATTAAGTGTAACTGTAAATTCCTCATGTTGTAGTGTCCTGTGGACTGATTTTGGTCCATGAATCACTGCCTACTAGTCCCTGGTGAGTTTCCATGAAGTTTCCAATGGGTACAAATATTGCACTAGATGTGGCACACTGGTAAGAGATGATTGCTGATCCCCTACATCAGGAAATTTGAGTAGTGCTGCAGTAATGTACAGCTGCCTAGTTCATAATACTTCTTCATGTAGTCATGAAAGTATCTGTGAAATGTTGAGAAAGTAGGATTTACACATTAAAACTTAAGGCCAGGTAAAACCATAAAATTGAAAGCATGATTGCCGATAATCACATTTCAAAAGAAAGCTTTAATGTTACAGATTTCATATTAAAAGATATATTCTCTTAGAACTGAACCTTAATTGTCACTAGAATCACTGCACTAACCTCTACTTCCTTACCTGGAATTACCTCTCCTTGAAGTCAGTGGAACCTCTCTGTAGCCATGCATAGGGCTGCTGTTAGTTTTCCCTTCTTTACTCATGAAATAGACAAAATAGATTAATTTATTAGGGAGTGAACTGAATATTTTGATCTCTGCCTATCAAAGAGTAGTATTTATTTACTTATATCATATGGGCAAAATAATATTTCACCTAACTATACACTACCCCCTTTTTTAAATTGTTTTAGGCAGCTGGATTTTCAGTAAATTACCTTGAGAAATGTGCTTATATTTGTACTTCTTGAGATTGTTAATTGCTGTCGACTTCAACTTATATGACTCTATGAATGTGAGACCTCCAGGTCATTCTGTTGTAGAAAACCATGGCTTCCTTGACCCCATCTACATTGACCATTTAATGCAATTTCAAATTGGTACTGAAAAAAGTGGTTTAGCTGTACAGATGATTACATAAGAAATCCTGGAACCATTTTGAGGCCCAGATGGTGTGATTACACATACCACAGAGCTCTGGTGCACATTGAAGGCTTTCTTTCATGTATTTTTTGTGGGAGTTTGTCTTTCTGCCACAGTTTAGAAGCTAGCATTGATCTGCATTAAATGGTGAATGTAGATGGTGCACTTGATTGAGTCAGTGAACTGGTGGATATATGCATGCAGAGAATGACAAAGAAATCTTTAATTTCACAGTTGTTTCTCAGTTTTAAAGAGATTGAAACATCTGTAGTGTCGCCAACAATTTCGCCTTTTTTTGAGAATTACTCATGCTTTTCTGTTTTACCTTCTGTCTCTGCTTTTCTACTGGTTCCTAAGTCTGAGTAAGGTCTCTTGTGACATCTTGTAGCCAGTTTTTCTTCTGAGATAGAATTGCAGCTTATGCAACAGAGTTTCCAATGAACACAGAGTTGCATCAGCTCATGTTGTTGGCATTTTGAATACTTGATGCTGTTCCCATGAAAGATAATATGAGGCATTTTAAAAACATTCTGTAGATCTTGTTTTTAGAAACTAGATCTTGATGACTGTATACTCTTAAAGACAAGTCACTGTAGTAGATATACAACTATGGGCAGTCCCCAAGTTATGAACAAGATAGATCCTGTAAGTCTGTTCTTAAGTTGAATTTGTTTGTAAATCAGAACAGGTACATTTTTAAAATGTAACTCCTGCCATATATTAGTTTTGGACAGCATAGGGAAAAGGTTAACACCACTGTCATGTTTGTTTTGCTGTCTATGTCCTTGTTCAGAAGATTACACTTTGCTTTCTGACCCTGGGATAATTGGATTTTGAAAAATCTGTTTTGTTGTGGAAACAAGGATTGGTTATAAAGCTTCAGTGGAGACACCTTTTTTCCATGATAACTTGTTCGGGAGTGAATTTCCCTTCCGAGGGGTAGATTTCCTCTCACTTCTTAACTATGAGTCATTTGTAAGTTGAATGTTTGTAACTTGGGGACTGTCTGCATGTCCTGATTAGTATCTTAAGTCAGGCTGCGTATTGGGCATACCTGGGCACAGTAAGTGATCCTTGAAGCAAGATTGATACATGATAATACTACAAGAGCGGCTGAAGAGGAATCCTTCATTTTTATTGAGTAGAAATATATCAAAGCTGTTGTGCACAGTCCTCTGCTTTGGAAAGAAATCGACATTCCTTTTGGAAAGAATTTATGCCACTTTTTGTTGCTTCTGTCTCTTGGGGGGGCTCCAGTGATTTCTGTGTTGTTGAATTCCTATGGAAATCAGTGCAGTGCTGTATTCTTTAGCATGCTTCAGAATTCTTGGAATGAAAACTCTAAAATAAAACTCAATACAGTAAAATGACATGTGAAATCACATGAATATGTAATATAAAATGTGTATGTGTTGCTCACAATAGTAAATACAGTAGTGCCTTAAAATGAAATTCATAGAAGTTTGTTTTCAGGAAAAAATGCTGATGTGGTTCAGAAATTGCCATAAATATTCATGTCGCCTTTAAATGACAACCCAGAATGTAATTTGTGTTAATTTGTATTAATACTTTCTAGCGACCAGTTTCCTGGGCAAGGGGTACCAGCTGGATTTCCAGTGTACCCTGCTTTCAGCCCTCTGCAGATGATATGGTGGCAACAGATGTATGCACGGCAGTATTACATGCAATAGTAAGTATAAGTGGCGCTCTATATTAATTACACTGTACTAAAATGGGAAGGTGATGATTAAGACTTACAGAAGCTATTATAAGACCTGAGTAAACTATTTCTGCTATAGAAATATGACATCCTCAGAATATTGGTGATAGGAGTTGCTCCACTGTAGGAATTATTAGGCATGTGCAAAAAATTCAGAAGTGTCAGAAATCGTAAAAATTCAAAAGTTTTGTAAGTCGGAAACCTTTGCACGGCCCACATAAAATATTTTAGAATCGAAACTTACCTCATAGCCATGATGAAGAGTAGAGGTAAGCAACTTCTAGTCCTACAGATGTTTGGGACTATTACTTCCTATTGTTTCTGCAGTTACTGTCCAGCCACAAGTTGCCAACCGTACTTTTAGTTATGAATATGTTTTTAATCTGTTTTAAGAGTTTTGACTGTTTATTTTTAATACTGCTAATATTTTCTTCTATTTTAATGTTTGTATATATTTATGTTTAAATTGTGTTCGTTGTACTGTAAGCCGCTTTGAGTCTCTTTTTAGAAGGAAAAAGTAGGCTATATAAACAATGAGGGGAGTTTTCTTAAGAACTTGGTTTTGAATAACAAAAAATGCTGTTTTTCTGACTCCACTACCCATTGAGTTACATTAGTGGAAAATTACTTTGTGCAATGAAGAGTTCTTCAAAAAGTTTCCACACTTTTAAAAACCCTTGTTAAGATTTTCAAAAACAAATCACATCACTTTTCTACATAGTGATCTTCCTTTGCGATGCATTTTTCCCAGCATTGTATCACCTTTTTAATGTCATTAGCAAAAAATGGTTTTGGTTGAGCGTGTAGCCACTGATGCAATGCTCCTTTCATATCATCACATTAAAATCTTCTTAATGCTTCATTGAGCATTCCCAAAAGGTAGAAATCAGATGGCACTAAATCAGGACTCTAAAATGGGTGTTCCATAACTTCCCACTTCACTTGCCTGAGGGTTTCCAGTGTTTGGGTTGCAGTGTGAGGGGTGTGTGTTTTCATGTGACAGCACACTTCCCTTTGACAGATTTCCCCATCTTTTAGAGCAGACTTCTCTTCTATCAGTTGTTTAGGCACCCAGCTGGCGTACACAGTTTACTGAGCTTAAGGATGCCGTGAATCAGGGCAGAGGCAGATCCAAGACTAACATTTCTTGTAACCTCTTAGGCTGATATTCTGCTGTTTCTATCTGTCAGTTTCAGGGTTTGTTCTTCATTCCTTGTGGACATGGCTGTAGCTGGATGTCCAGAGCACTCTGCATCTGTCACACTAGTACGGCCATTTTTTAACTTTTCAGTCTACTCATAGGTGATTGTGAGAGTCATTTAGACAATTCAGTGAAAGAGAACTTTACTCCCATGCTGAGCGCACATAGAATCATAGAATCAGAAGGGACGACCAATCCAGTCCACTCTCCTGCCATGCAGGAAAAGCGTAATCAAAGCACCATTAACAGATGACCATCCATGCAGAGATGAATTTCTGTTCCCTATAGCAGAACACGTCCTCTGGTGCAATTCATAAGTTTCTCCTCCATCTTCACAGTTTAGTACAACCCTTATACTAAACTGCAAGGTCAGCCGACTTGCCAGACAGACTAGTCACATGATACTCAAAAGACACAATCAATTACTACCACTCCTACCCTTACTCTTTCCAATGAAAATGTAGAAGTGCAGAACTGTTTTGAAGACTCCACACAAATTAGGCATGACTAGCCTTATTTATCCAGGACATTTCAGTTGGTGATTGTAGAACAGCTCTGGAAAATAAACATGGAATTATCCAAATAACTTGTTTTTTCAGGCCTTTTAATTTTTCTATTCCACAGTCAAGCTGCAGTTTCAGCCCAAGCAACATCCAGCACAGAATCTCCTCCTCCTCCAGCGCAGCAACCCACAGATTCCCAGCATGCTCCTGCCAACGAGCCCCCAGCAGCACCAAATGTAGCCCCACCGGAGAATAGGCCTGTGAATCAGAATGTCCAGATGAATGCTCAGGGAGGCCCAGTAATGAATGAGGAGGAATTCAATCGGGACTGGCTAGACTGGATGTACACGTTCTCCAGAGCGGCCATTCTTCTGAGCATTGTGTACTTCTATTCCTCCTTCAGCCGATTTATTATGGTGATGGGAGCTATGCTACTAGTATACCTGTAAGTAAACACTTTATCGTCATTCTTATGTGACTTCAAATTGATTGCCACAGACCGCAACTTCACCTTAGAATTTCCTTGGCAGAATTTATTCAGAGGAGGCTTGATATTGCCTTCATCTGCAGCTAAGAAAGTGTGACTTGTCCAAGGTCACCCAGTGAACAGGGATTTAAATCTTGGTTTCAAAGGCCCCAACTATGTCTCATCTATGCTGCCGTTATAATGCAGATTTAACTGCATTGATCTGGATTAGGACCATATAATGCAGTTCAGTCTGTATTATTATGGCAGTGTAGATGGGGCCACAAAGTTCTAGTTCAGCCCTTAAATCACCATCTATGTTAGCGCTTTACTTACTTGTATGGCTATATGTGAATTCAATTCACTGTCAAGTCTTTATGAATTGAATATTGATTGCATAGATTGATTAATAATGGTACTATTATTATTTGGCTTTTGTTGGCCAGCATTGTTTTCTGCTTTATCTAGAGAAAAAGAAAAAGTCTGTATATTCACCAAGAGTATTTTAATGATGTAATAACTACTGCTTTGTTTTTATTAGTCAGTTCAAACCTATTTAAGTGCAATGGCAATGTGGAGATGGAGCACTAAACTAAATCATCAACAAGACAACTTGGTGATGATTCAGGTTTCTGACATTTTGATAGTTTTCCTATAATTCCTACAAATTTCACATCTCATTCTACTCTACGTATTTAGCAGATACTTTCAGTATTTTTTCAATTCTAAGACACTTTTTCTTACATAAACATCTCTAAAAATGGGGTGCATCTTAGAATAGCAGGTGTATCTTATGTATTTATGTTGATGGTTGTGGTACTGAAATTAGGCTGCATCTTAAACTGCATCTTACAGTTGAAGAAGTATGAGAGTTGAGTGAATGCAGTCATCTGTTTTAATCCTTCTTTTTCCAAGTGGAGCACTTTGGTATCCTTCTTGACATTTTCATTTAGATTAGTCTGTTGTGTGATTATTTTTTTAATTGTGTGCCTGTGTGTTATGAAACAGGCACCAAGCTGGATGGTTCCCATTCAGACCAGAAGCAATACAGCAGCCTGCAGCAAACAATATGGACATGAACCACGATGGACAAAATGTAAATAATGCTGGACTTGAAGAAATGGTAGGTAGATGTAAGTGTACAAGTGGTTTGCAGTTAAAATGAACTGGTGTCTCATTTAAACTGCAATCTTAACATTAAGAATGATCCTGTACATATTTAGTTGAAGAAAGTTGCAAAACATTGAACTTTTAGGGAAATATGTAGAGTAGTGCTATAAAATGGTTTACCTTCTGTGTTCAGATGCATAGTATTTGTTCTTCCATCTTTTTGTTTAGCAGTTCTCTGGTGGAAAGAGGCCTTCAGTAGCATGACTTTAGGATGACCTTTTTTGTTCTCCAGGAAGGCAGTGGTCTCCTGATAAACGATTTGGGCCTAATAGTAATGTTCCTTGCTTCCTCATTCCTCCTTCTCCATTTCTATTGCCACTACTGCTGCTTCTCAAAAGAAAAACACCAGAATTTCCTCTTATTATTTAGTTTCTTTTTATTTTTCATGTGTTTATTTTGTTCTGAAAGGTGAACCCTTAAACTTAAAATCCTCTCACTCCCACCTCCATCACAAGAGCAGTTGGTGGGGATGTGGGAGGTGGCCTTCTTTTTAAAAAAATATTTTTATTGAGAATAAAATATTCCAGAAAGGATACCAGAAAAAGAGAGAAGAAAAGGAAAAAAAGAGAAAAAAGTATAGGGTATTGGTTTACATGGAAAGTAGGTGAACAATATAATTAGGAAAGTAGGAAAATGAGAGAAGAGGGAAAGAGAAAAAAGAAAAAAAGGGGGAGAAAAGGAAAATAAGAATTATTTTAAATATTAAAATATGATTTAGTTTCTTATTCTTTTCCTGTCTTCCATTTTGCTGTCTCAAAAATTACCTGTTTAAGTAATAAAAGGAAAGAGAGCCATGTAGATTTGGATTCAGTGAACAGAAAAAACCTCTGCAGCTGCTAGGAAGCTCACTGCAGTTTCATTACAACACATTCAGTGTTATTTATGGTCTCCCAAGCACCTTCCACACTGAATAAAATCCCACATTATCTGCTTTGAACTGGAATATATGGCAGTATGCACTCAGATAACCCTATTCAAAGCAGATATTGTGGGATTTTCTGCCTTGATATTCTGTGATATAGGGCTGTGTGGAATGGCCCTTAGTCGCACCTTAATTTCTTGTACCACTCAGTTTCCAACATCAAGAATTCCTAAACAGTGCTAAGGCACAGGTGTCATTTATCCACCATTCAAACATCTCTGGATTTCTGGATTCTGTATTGTGAAAGCAGGTGGCATGGATGACTTACATATGAGCTGTCTCTCAGGATGCCAATACACTGAGGTGGACAAAACACAACCCCCACGAACATTTCTGCCGGCCCCCAGTGCCCAGCCACTTTTCTGGAAAATTCATAACTATTCACAGTTTTTACAAATTAGAAAAACATTCTGGGAAACCACTACCAGTCCAGTTTTACCTCTGAACATCCCTTCCTCCCAATTGCCAAACACACAAGTACTGAAATCAGAAGCCCTCAAATGCAGTTGCGTTCTTCAGCATTTTGTTTCAAGAGGGCAGATTAATGTAGGCTCCAGACAAGTAGGGATAAGTAATTTATAATGATAAGCCTATCTCTTAGCACCATTCTCTTCTGTATTTCAATAATCAAAGCACTGAGCAGTTTTTAAAAGTGTCCCAATTTCAATAATCAAAGCACTGGGCAGTTTTTAAAAGTATCCCAATTCTCACAGCACTGCTTGGCTAGTCATCTCCATGTTTTTATGATCCAAGGCCCATTACTTCTCTAATCATTCCAGCTGTTTGCTCCTGGGAGACTTACATCTACTTTTTATGCTACTGCCACTTATATCATGGGTGCATCTACACTGTAGAATTAATGTAGTTTGACACCACTTTAACTACCATAGGGCTCAATACTATGGGATCTTGGAAGCTGCAATTTGGTGGGATGTCAGCTTACTTCGGCAGAAGAGGCTAAAGAGCATGTAAAACGACAACTCCCAGGATTCCAAAACAATAACCCATGGGCAGTTAAAGTGGTGTTACACTGCATTTTTTCTACCATGTAGATCAATCATAGGAAAACTTTGGCCCTCTATGTGTTTTTGACTTCAATTCCCACAGTTCCAAACAGCCTGCTGCTTGTTAGTAGATACATCCATGTTTAAAAACTTCATTTAAGTCTGAATGTTTAGGAATATCGGGGTAAGATTTTAGGCTTTTATATAGAAAAGTTAAAGTGATTGAAAAATAATATAATGTAAATATGCCCCCGGTAGCTCAGTGGGTTAAACTGCTGAGCTGCTGAACTTGCTGACCAAAAGGTCGGTGGTTCAAATCCGGGGAGCACTTCTGCTGTTATCCCCAGCTTTTGCCAACTTAGCAGTTCGAAAACATGTAAATGTGAGTAGATCAATAGGTACCACTCCAGCGGGAAGGGAACAGCGCTCTATGCAGTCATGCCGGCCACATAACCTAGGAGGCATCTACGAACAATGCCACTCTTCAGCTTAGAAATGGAGATGAGCACCACCCCCCAGAGTCGGACACAACTAGACTTCATGTCAAGGGGAAACCTTTACCTCTACCTTATATTAAAATTTAATTTAATCTTTTTTTAAAATTTAAATTGTATTCCTTGAACACTTGGCTAACCCCACAGCAACTTCAGTTACCCACCCTTGTTCCATGCCTTTCCTATTCATAGCCTTTGTAAAGATACAGATAGAACATCTTGCAGACTATAATCAACCTGGCCTGCCCTAGTTGTGTGACTTGTATCTGTTTGCCCCATTTTGTTCATTGACCACCTTCTGCCAGGCAATTTTTCCCCCCTCAGAATTAAGATTCCTAGTGAGAGATCGATGTCTTCAAGGCATATGTCAATTTATGGGGACCCCATGAGTTTCATAGGGGTTTCTTAGGCAAGGAATGATCTGGTGATTTTGCTAGTTCCTTCCTCTGAAGCATGAGGCCTCTCAGATTGTCTCTTATCCTTACAGAGGTCAATTTCTCAGCCTGTCAGACCACATAAAACAGACTCTTTGCCAGGACACACAGTGTAACTGCCCTCTTGTAATGGAGGGGGCATCACAGTTCACTTCTTCCAGCAACTCTGCTATGTGTTTTTTTGCATTGCATGAACAGAATTAGAGAAAGAACTGACAGTCACTGCTACTAGATCAGAAGTTTAGGTTGTATGATTGCGGCTTTCCTGGCCAATACGTAGGCTTAAATTAATCTTTTTGGAGGCCACTGCCTTAAAATGACCTTCACAATTTTTTATTTTCCTTGTTAGAGTATAACATACTTTCATCAGAAACCAGATACTGCATATTCTTCAGCATCTTTACTTTACAATTATCTCATAAGCACAGGCATGGGCAAACTTGCGTGAGTTGAAGCCCAAGTTTGCCCATTACTGCATTCATATATTTAGTTTTTTTTTAAAAAAAAATTAAAACAATTAAACCATTTGAGGTGTTTGTTTTTTTTATTAAGGAGCGTCTTATGGATGATGGGATTGATGAAGATAGCGGCGAAGATGTGATAGATGTCAATGCAGATCAGCATCCGGGGTTTATGGCTTCTGCCTGGTCCTTCATCACCACCTTCTTCACGTCTCTCATCCCTGAAGGGCCTCCACAAGTGGGCAACTAAGTAAAAGAGGAACCGTCAGTAGAGACATAGTTGATCAACTATGCTTTCATGTGGAATTGGACTCTTGCGGAGTGTTTTAAATGCAGTGCAATTTCAAAAGATTTATAATGCAGACTTTCTGATCATGGTGTACAAAAAATGTGTATTTTTTCCCTTTTGGCTTTCTCATGGTTATGAATATTTTAAGCAAAAGTGGACTACGAAATGCTTTTTAAAATTCTTCTTTAAAGAAGAAGAAAAATGTAAAAATATTGTTCTTCCATGTTTATTTGTTTAATTGTGTTAACACTGAGATGAGATACTTACAGTTGGTGTATAACATCATCCCTTTAAATAGTTGTTAAATATACAGGTGGCAACAGTAATATTTCAGAAATAATATCCTCCACAGTAAAATTGATTCTGTGTAGGAATATTTGTATGTGTGTGTTTTGTTTGATTGTTTTCTAAACATTTTCTTTTTGAGTTTGTGGTAGGTTGGTCTTGCCAGTAGCATGTACGTATTTCCTCACCACCACAGATACTTCATGCCTTAAATGTAATATGGGAGTTTTTCAAAGGAGACAGAGTGCAAACTATTTAGCACATTCTGTACTTTAAAAAAAAGACTGGTCATGGAAAACACAGACACTTGTAATTAGTTTTTTTTCTAAATTTAAAAGAAGTAAGTGAAAGATATATTCATTTCTTTTGAATTATTCTTTATTTATCTTCATTAACACATTGGGTCTTTAAAAGTTATTATTTCATTCATTTGTATCCCAGATTTTTCTCAGTAATGAGATTCAAGGCAGCTAATGACATATTTTAAAACTATTATTATTATTATTATTATTATTATTATTATTTCTTGCCCTCCTCTCTTTGTGGCTCAAGGCAAGTTACAGCACAATTAAAACACATAAACATTGTAATTTTTTAAAAAAAATGTATTTCTATAAAATACATATTAAAATACACAGAACAGAGATTAAACACAAGACACTAGTTAAAAATTCATATTTAAAACTGGCTGTGTTGCCCTGCTGGATTCAAACTACAAAACCAACAATAAATCATTAATAATAATAATAATAATAATAATAATATCTTATTTATACCCTGCCACTATCTCCTGAAGGGACTCGGGGTGGCTCACAAAAAGCACACAACAAAAACAGCATGCATTAACATAACAATATACATTTGCATAAAAACAGCATATTAATATAAACCCTACCAATTTAAATATGAAAGTTATTTTTAAAAAATGTATGAAGTTGAAAACATTAAAATTAATTTTATAAAACTATGTACAAACTATACAAACACCACCACCTAATATTAAAAGCCCATCCCCATCAGTTATTAAAAGTCTTAACAGCATGAAATGTTTTAATTTAACAACAGAAAGAGAGCAAAGTTGCAGCCATCCTGGCCTTCCTTGGGAGGGAATTCCAAAGCCCGAGGAAATTCTCTCCCATTTTCCCACCAAAGAAGCTTGAAAAGGTGGTGATACGGAGATCCTGATGATCTCAGGACTCCAGTGGACTCATAAAAAGAGAATGATCTTTCTGGATCCAAGCCATATAGGGCTTTATTGGTCATCACCAGCACTTAATTTTGCCTGGAAATGGAAACTGCTGCAATGAGGGAGTTGTGTGCACCATGTGGCCAGCACGTTAACAATCTGGCTGCCAATCTTTGGATCAGCGAAAGTTTCGGAGTAGTTTCAAAGGCATCTGTGCATGGAGTGAATTAAAGTAATCTAAATGGCACAAAACCAAGGCATGTGTTGTCATGGCTAGATCCCAATTTCTCCAGGAATGGGCACATTCATCCAAGTTATACAAGGTAGAGGGAAATATGGAAATAGGAGCCAATTGTAGTAATCTGGGGTCTACGCTCACAACAAAAGTGTTGGTTATCCCCAAACTGTCTCCTATCTCATCCTTGAGACAACCCCAGCTAGGTCAGGAATGGAGACTATTGAGCAGTAGAGTGGGTGGTCCTTCAACAGTATTTCTAATCTGTCCCAGTCATCCACCTTCAAATAAACACTCAAACCTGCAGACTTGAGGAAACATCGCCTTGTCGGGTATATTATTCCTATAGACCACCGAAACTCCACCTCCCCACCCACCAAGTCTTCCTTGCTGCTGCACAGAAATGCCTGGTGAGCAAAGCTGAGAAAAATTGATGCTCCCAGCCAGATCATCTTAATTTTAAAACTCAGGATGAATATTAGAGAAAAACTTGATGTAGAGTGTATAGCCAAAGATAACATCAACATTTTGAAGATACTTTTTCATTGTGAGCATTATTATGATCTCCAGATGTGCCTGGTTACATTTTCTAATCCTTAGCAGAAGACTAGGAAAGAGAGGACTAGGAAAGAGGAAAGAGAAGACTAGGAAAGAGAGGTAACCAGGTTGGGAACACGAGCCCTCAAAAAAGAGTCTGCAATCAATGGTCCGAATACAGCGTCATAATTTAATCGAGTGCTTTACAGTTACTTGGTAAAGACTTGCGCATTTTGCAGTTTTAACAATTCTGTATAAGCTTTCATCTAGTCTTAATATTTTCCTATGAATTTGACTAATTTACCAAAATGTTTATTTTAACATAATTATTTTGTGTGTATCACCTTTATCCTGATGTGGGATAAACTACAACATGATGAACTAAAAATTGAAACACGAAATTGATCATTTTAAAACCATATTCAAATAGTTACTCCTAAAAGCCTGTTTGGGCAAAATGGTTCTGCTGGCAAAAGGAGAGCAAGGAAGGGCTGGCCTAGCTTCCCATGGAAAGAGATTCCAGAGGGTAGGATCAGCCACTTGGGAAACTCTCTAAGATAAAATGTAAAAACTCAAAACAAACAAACAAGAACCCCAGAGTGGAGGGAAACTGCACAAAAAAGCACAATTCATGTCAGTAATTCATGTCATAGCTGAAGTTTTCAAGGGAGACATTTTTAAGCCTCAGTTAAGAATACCTAGCTGTATTATGTTATTATAGTACAATTATTTTAAAATAGAGCCGTGGTGGTGCAATGGGTTAAACCCTTGTGCCAGCTGGACTGCTGTCCTGAAGGTTGGGTTGCTGTCCTGAAGGTTGCCACTTTGAATCCGCAAGACGGGGTGAGTTCCCTTCTGTGAGCTCTAGCTTGTAGGGCCATGAGAGATGCCTCCCAGCAGGATGGTAACACATCCAAGTGTCCCCTGGGCAATGTCTCTGTAGCTGGCCTATTCTCTCACACCAGAAACAACCTGCAATATATTCTTAAGTTGCTTCTGACACGATAGAAAAAATACTTTAAAGCTCTTTTTGATGTTACCAGGACCAGCATTTCTTTTGAAAATGCATTATAGTTAGTATTCCTGATTTTACTTCATTTTCCTCTGCTGGTAGCAGTCAGTCTGGGGCTGTTTCTTTGCTTGGTAATGATTTATTAGCTCTGTTTTCAGGTAAGAAAGGAGCGCCAGTGCAGTTCTTCACTTTTATCCCTTTCAAGTAATAGGGCCAATGGTGCAGGTAACTGAATTTCATTTTCATCTGTGTTTATATTTGGTACTACTTTCCAGGTGGTTTTCTGGCTTGATTTTTGAAGCCACTCTCATATACCAATCTGAATATTTGCACTGCAGCTATCACTGTGTGCAAGCAAAGTTTTCCAAAACACCATGGATGGCTGCATGTCACATAGCCCTTCCACAACTACCGTGAAATCTGACAGAAGTCCTGCAGTGTAATAATAATGGGATTACAATTTATTTTTTATTTATTTATTACTTCGTTTATATACTGCTTTTCTCAGCCCTTGGGTGACTCAAAGCGGTTAACAATAGCAAAATTCAATGCTCAACATCATAAAAAGAGTTAAACTCAGTTCTTAACTGTGCAAATAAATGTGTACCCATCTTTGCAATATTGCACCTATTAAAGGACATTGACAAATCATGGGAAGAGGTCAAAAGAATGTGGGAAGATTATCCGGGTACAACTGTGACATGTGAGGGTGGTGTTGTTTGTGTTCGCCTGTGTGTTAGATTTCAATTGTATGGAACACTCTACGTACAAATAAGAGCCATTACATAAATGTTGTTCCTTGTGTAGCCAAAAATCTTCCTCCATACACCAGACAGTATATGGGCGCCTCAAAACGTTCGTGCAAAGAATCTATAGGAAAAACCTAGGGCGCATCTTCACTGTTGAATTAATACAATTGGATACCACTTTAACTCCCATTGCTTAATACTATGGAATTGTGGGATTTGTAGTTTGTGATGCACCATCATTCTTTGGCAGAAAAGTCTAAAGACATTGTAAAACTACAATATTAATGATTCCATAACATTGAGCTATGGCACTTAAAGTTTAACATTGAATTAATTCTACAGTGTAGCTCCACCCTTAGAAGATACATTTTAATTCTATTTTAATGGTATGTTTCTTACGTTTTGAATTATATCTTATATTGCTATTATTGTTAGCTGCTTTTTAAGAGAGATGATGGTGATGATGATGATACTACAAGCAGAGGCATAACACAGTTGCTCAGATGATTAATTGGAACTTGTGCCACAAATACCATCTGCCTGCGACAAAGAACTAGTGGGATCACAAGCCGAAAAAAGTTACAGAGAATGAATATGTCAAACTCCTCTGGGACTTTTGAATTCAGACAGACAGAGTTCTGGAGCACAATATTCCTGACTTCACAATCGTGTTAAAAAACAAAGTATGGATTGTCGATGTTGCAATCCCAGGCGACTGCAGGATTGCAGAGAAATAATGGGAAAAACTGACATGATATGAGGATTTAAAGATTGAACTGCAAAGACTCTGGCACAAGCCAGTCAAGGTGGTCCCAGTGGTGATCGGCACACTGGGTGCAGTGCCTAAAGACCTTGGTCTGCACTTAAAACACAATCGGTACTGACAAAATTACCATCTGCCAGCTTCAGAAGGCCACCTTACTGGGATCTTCACAAATTACTCGCCCATACATCACACAGTCCTAGACACTTGGGGAAGTGTCCAATGTTTAATCCAATACAATAGCCAGCAGAGTGATCTTGTCTACTGTGGACTCATCTTGTGTTTCAAGTAATAATAATGATGGTGATGATGATGATGATGACACAACTCTGTGGCCCAGATGATTCACTGGAACTTATGTCACAAGTACCACCTGCCAGCAGTAAAGAATTGGTGGGATCATAAACCCGCAAAAGTCGTGGAAATGAACATGCAAAAATACTGTGGGAATTTCGAATCCAGACTGACAAAATTTTGGAACACAATATGCCAGATATCACGATTGTAGAAAAGAAAAAAGTCTGGATTATTGATGTTGCCATACCAGGTGACAGTCGCATTGAGGAAAAACAACAGGAAAAACCCATCTGCTATCAAGACCTCAAAA